GGTTCCGCTAAAAACGGGGCTTATGGTGAAAACTAAAAACAGAAAATCTCAACCATCCATTATTACTAACAAGATCTAACGGTTTAAAAAAAATAAAATAACATAGAGTCACTATATATAAAAATAACGTAACTATATACAAAAATAGGGTAACTATATCAATTTTTACAACATTTGTCACTATATACAAAAATAGGGTAACTATATCAATTTTGATCCTATTAATAGAAGTCACTATATACAAAAAAAGGGTAACTATATCAATTTTGACCATATTTACATAGAAGTCACTATATACAAAAATAGGGTAACTATAACAATTTTTACAACATTTACATTAAGGTCACTATATACAAAAATAAAGTAACTATATCTGAGTTTTTGACACCATTTACATAAAGGTCACTATATACAAAAATAAAGGTCACTATATATAAAAATAAGGTGATTGAACCAAAATTTACAACATTTCCATAAATCTAAGGTCATTATATCGAAAATAAGGTAACTATATATAAATTTCGGGTAATTATATATATCAATTTGACACCATTTACCCAGAGGTCAATAAATATAAAAATAAGTATTAAAAAAGTCTATGTAGGATTCGAACCTACATCCCGTGATTACACGGTGCTCGACCAATTGAGCTAATAGGCTTTCAACATGCCAAAAACGTAGAGGCTTAAAACCAACACATATTTTAGATTCATAAACATATTCACTAAAGTCAAGTACCTTTACCAGAGTTTTCAAGCAGATCACATACCCTTCCAAAGTTGTGGGTCTAAAAGCAGACACTTCAGGATTCATACAGTCACTTTCAGGAAAAATCTCCGGAGCCTCATCCAACTTGTCATTACCACTAGTAACTTCTTTTTTTTGGTTGAAAGGAGGCCAAAGGTATGTTGATATCAAGTACAATCCAAACCATGCAAGCTTCAGCAATTAAGTGGCGCATATTCCCAGCTGCAAGTGAATGTAATAAACGAATCATCAGCAACAATTCAAACTCACATGTGGCATCAGCAAAGCATATGCAGTTTTTGTGATAATAGATCACTAGTAGATATTCTGTCTGTATTGTTGGACGTTTTTATATATATATATATATATATATATATGCTTCTAAGCAATTTGATTTAATCCATTTTACAGTGGACAATCAATGTATACTGACACCCACACAATCAAGTTGAGCCAATCATGTAACAGCTCTAATTAGCTCTAAGAATTGTTTATTGGTCAAGAATGTATCATACAAAGCCACATAATTTGTTTAAATGAATTACTTTACATATTTCTATTATAATAGAATTAGTCATTAATCAAAGTATCAATTCTCTTATTTCATTGGTAAAAGTATACCTTGGTAAAAGTTAGGCCAAGGTATTAAGCTATGTAAACCCATGAATAGCAGAATTGTACTGGTATGCTACACTTGAAATTCCTGACAATATAGTCGGGGAAAAAAAAAAAGGTAGCACTTTATTAGTTGCTAAACATGTGGTGGAACCTCAAAATGTAGTTCTTCATTCATCTATGACTCCAAAATTCAGATAGAAAACACATATTAGATTGAGCTCAGCTTGTATTCTCTTATAGTACAAGGCAATTGGAAACTGTCTAGATTTGATCTGTATATTATATTTGAATTCTGCTCATATTTAAGTAATACAATGTTCTATTTGAATTCTGCCCATAATTATTCATGATGTTGAGCTAAGGTATCCAAATCCTCGAATTCTGGCTACCTTGATTCAAGTTCAAAACAGGCCTAATTCAGAAATTTTGAAGCAAAATCCAGTACAGAGTCAAATTAACCATGCACATATGTCAGACTAGAAGTACACTTTTCAACAGTCAAGAAAGTCATGTAGATGTCGATTTAGCATGATCAGAAGCAATCTATCAAGCAGTTAGCTCCAAGTTTCAGAAAAAAGAAACAAATAGAAGAAAAAGAAACTCAGAACCAACCTCTATAGTGGGGGCAATAGCATTTGAGCCACTATTTCCTCCCTTCCCAACATCAAGATGAACTGAGATGTTAGCCAGTGGCAAATCCACCTCAGATGTCTGTAGCTCCAGGGTTAGTCGCTTAAGCAGTCTGCTCAACACCAAAAGTCGGACATATAGAATCAAAGTCAGTATCTTAAACCAGGAAGCATTCTTCATACTTTATGTAAAATCAGCTAAAATCAAACACTAATTTGAACACTAAATCTCTGAAATTCGAAATTTAAAATCGAACTATAGATCCGAAAAAATAAGCAAAAATCGAAGCCTACATTTGCAAAAATGGAACTCAAAAAAATCAAACTCCGCAAAAATCAGCTAAAATCAAACACTAATTTGAACACTAAATCTCTGAAATTCGAAATCTAAAATAGAACTATAGATCCTCAAAAATAAGCCAAAATCGAAGCCTGTATTTGCAAAAATCGAACTACAAAAATAAATCAAACTCCATGCGAAACTCTTAAAATCAAATCAGAAAAAATCGAACTCATGCAAAATTCATGAAAATTGAACAGAAAGAACACAAATATCAAATCACAAAAATCGCTGAAAATTCGTGAAAAAACAAACAAATTGTCGAATATAATCATACCCATCTAGAGATTTTTCGCCATAATTTGATGCAACACAGTAGAGAGAGTAACAGAGAAGCTGGTTGAAGAGAGAGAAAGTACGAAAGAGGAGAGAATAGAAAGGAGAGAGAAAATAACGTGAAAATTAAGGAGAAGAGAGAAATTCATGTCTGAAAAGAGGAAAGAAATCTCAGCCATACAATTTGATGAACGGCTGAGATTAAAAGTTTTCAGTTTTTATTTTAACATTTGTTTTTACCTGATCCTATTCCTACATATATATATATATATATATATATATATATATATATATATATATATATATATATATATATATATATATATATATATATATATATATATAATGTCAAAATAATCAAAGATAGGATATTCTACTGTCCTGAAATGCATGCAATGCGACTTTAGATAATTGTAAAGTAGTATCCAACAATTGCATGCATGCATGCATAATAACAATGTTGCATTCGATGATTCGATCTGTATGTAAACTCCAATGGTTGTATATATATCATTGGTATATTATCTAAGCTAAGGATACCTTCATGTATTTTGTCCCAATGCTTTAGCTCTCTTCTTTTTTATCCCACTCGCGGCTATTCAACATAAATGTGTAATTATAAATATACTTTGAAGCAAAAATTATGTTGTATAAGTAATTATAAGGTTAATAGAGTATATAAACAGTTTGGAAGGAGGTGTTTACAACTTCGAGGTAATGAATGAACCCTGATAACCCGACCCTATTAGATACATACAAAATTTAAACCCGGCCTCTAATTTAAAAAATTGGATATAACATCGCTTATTGAAATTGGATTATTATATATTTCTTGTCATAATGAGAAATAAATCAATTTTACTTCCACTAAAAATATATGGAGTAATAATTACTATGTTAAAAATAAAAAAATAAATAAAAAAAAACCTAAAGTACTAATTTCGATTGAACTTATTATAATTAGTCATGTACTCTTGTAATAATCAAGAATCAACCATAAAAAAGCTACATTCCATTAAACTTGGGCCTACCAGTCTTCTATAATTTATTGACTGAAGAAATAAAAAAGGAGATGAAATTCTTATAGAACGATTGGTCCTCGACACACGTCGTACATACTTTAATTAGATGTGACACTTTTAGAACAACAATTTAAGGCAAGCTTTAGAAAGAGAATAGGAGTATTAATTAATGAGTAATTATAATTAAGATGATGATTTAGTGGCTTGATTAAGTGGGAGGGAATGAATGGAGTGCGGAGAAAGAGCCAAAAGCAATTAAAACAAAGGGGGTAGTTGTAAATCAATATAAGCAGCCGTGGTCCTCTACAATACAACGTGCTTATATTTCATCGATCAACATTCAATATCTATCATTCAAAATAATTACTACTCCATATCATACATAGATTTATAATTATATTGTAGTAACTAGTAATATTCATCAAGTTAAGTTTGCTAAGTGTCTTGAAAGCTAAGGAGGGTACTTTCTTGAGGTTCAATCCTCACTAGGGATAGTATGAGAAGGGGTCGGGATTCCTTTTACTTTTTCAATCCCCCACTCCTCTAAATCATTTTGGGACTAAAATTAGGCCAAAAGGGTCGAAGTTTTGAGGACGGAAGGAGTATAATTTAGCAGTTAGTGGATATTTCAAATTCTTGGAATATCTCTATGTATGTGGGGTGAATGCTGTCTTCCACCTCAAAATCCTTTTTATTTTTATTATTTAGGCAAATTTCCAACCTCATAGACTCATAACACATAAATATATTTTATAAAATTAATAATAATAATATTGGATGCGTGTGTTTCGCATTCCTTTAGCCAACATGTCACTAGCTTTATGTTAAAAATTGGAAATGGCGTGTGCCCTCCACATGGAAACCCTAAACAATTCGTATTGACGTGTATCATCTGTTCACTAACTAGCTAGTGCACCAAACACTACGCCATTTTATGTATATTCAACAAAGATACGGCCTCATTACATTATATAATGTCATCATAAAACGATAAAACATGTTATTTATCATCCAACAAATGCACTATGTACAAAACAGGTTAATTCGCAAGCAATTAGCTTGACAAAGTTGGTTTTTTAAGTCAATTGCTAAAGTAGTCTACTTATCTTTAATTAAATTTATTTCCTAATTAACTTTACACAATTAGGTACGTGTTTATTGTTTATATGAGTAATGATACACAAATTGTGAAAGAAAGGAGGACAAAAATTAACATGAGTAACTAATAGTATACATGCATAATTACAGATATATCATATATGTGTGTTTTCTCAAAAATTTGTCAAGTGAGGTGATTGAAAGCCTATATTAGCTTGAGAGGAACAAGGATATTCTTTTAAAATACGTTTTATTTTTATATATAATCGAGTTGTTTAGTTTTTTTTATTGGATTTTAATGCATGAGAAGGTCTATCCGATCCTAAAAAAGGAGAAGTTCAAGAAAATATCTTTTAAAAGGAGTATGGTGATATTTGAAGTTTGACCTCTCGGAGAACTAGTCAACTATTTTAGCCTCCTATCTCATTAATTATGCAGCATAGGAAGTATCTATTTTTATATAAAAGCAAGTAACTATCAAAATTATTAGTACGCAAAAACACAACATTACAATAGAGATTATATAATATACTACTTCCCATGCATTGATCATATTTTGGCGAGTTGAGATTACATTTTTGGCACATAAAGTTCATAATCTTAAGATCGACTTCTATTTAAGTAAATAAACATAAAAATAAAATTAGGAAGTGAGAAGGTTGCAAGTGGTGTTTACAGAGTGAGTGAGAGTAGTGTGATGTTGTTGATCATTCAAATTACGAAGAAGCAATAAACAGTGAGCTTGATGATGGAAGTGGGACTGAATCAAGTTTTGAACCACTCTAATATAAGAGCTGAACTTGAGAGTGACAAACAAAGGGAGTCCTGTTTGTGAGTTTAGCATGTCTTCCATGTTTCTTCCACCTCCGTACATTGCCTTCTTCGTTGTCCCCGCCGATACCGACATTTCCCTCCATTCTCGGCTCCGAACGTACATGTTTGCCCCCTTCAATAATTTCATTCATCATCAATCATAAACCCGAAACAAAATTGATCGTATTAATTACAGAATATTAATGCAAATAATTAATACTTCAAACACTTTTTATTATTTACGCTTTCTTACAAAAATATTTTTAATATAAAGATTAAAAAGTGACGCAGGGATTATCAATTAACTTATCATTCATCAAATTTGTATGATACTGTATTTAATATAGTAATTTCATTAGAAATGGACTTAAAACTTATTAGAATCCAAATCAAGTATATTCTTTTATCTTGTTTATTATGAATAGGTTACTTGTAAAGTAAAACCCTATAAATTTTTTGAACTTATTTCAATTCAATTCAATTCAATTCGACTCAGATCAATCTAGCTCTTATATGATTATATACAACACTACGAGTATAATATGGTAAAAGGAAAAAAAAATGTAGTATTGCAGTCCAAATATTTAAGCACTTACTATTGAGTTGAAGTTGAAGTGATAGATTTGAAGGCCGGGTTGGAGTTAACACTTATTGATAAAGGGAAACATTGAACATATAGATGCATTCACATTGACTACATGAGTATGTACATGACTACTAATAGAGACCTTAGTGAAAGAGATCCACTTGTTTGGGCAATTCAGTAAACATAGCCAATCATTTCTTAGCCTTTTAAGTAGAGTGTATCAGCCCATAAGAAACCAATCTCTAATGAATCATTTTGTTAAAGACTTTTTAATCATACTTCATCCACTACCGAGGAAACTTCAGATTGATTGATGAAATTAAAATTAGTTAACTGAAATTATGTAACTAATTTGAATTATTCCTCCAAGTGTTACATTTTTACTTTTTTCATTATTCACATAATGGTCACATAATGGTTTTGACTTCATTAATTAATATATATAAATAACAAATGTTATTGTATAATACATTGTTGGATTCGTTATAAAGTATACTTGTATACTACAAAATTTCCTATGAATTTACTGACACGTAATTAGATAAATTAATGGTCAAAGTTGTGTCTCAACATGCAAATTTGGTCAAACTATAACGCTTATTAAAACACAGAGGGGGTAATTTGCTGAAAACTTACTCGAGACATGACAAATGGTACACGACCATAGTAAACATTGATGATGGGAGGCAAGATATGAAGACCGAACACTTTAGATCTGTTGTCAATTATAAGCGCCATTGAAAGGTTGCAACTCAAAAAGTTTGTGGCTACTCCAGTTAAATCAACTCCCTCCGTTAGCTCAAATTGGTTCACTCCTATCACCTGCATTTTGCATTTATGTGAACAAAGCTGAGGTTAAGGTCCACTCTCATCTAGTCCATAAGACTGATGTTTAAGGCCCATACTATGTGTCAAGGTTTCTGGTTTTTTCTTTTAAAGGCCTAGTTTCATTACATGTAACATTGTAACTATGTTCTATATGTATGTGATGTACTCTTAAATCTTAACAATAACTAATATAATTCATGAGTGCTAATTGCTATTAAGCTTTTTTACTTTTTCAAAGAGGTCACTTAATTATCCTTTTTAAGTGTGCCATTTAGTTTTGAAAAAAGTAATTATCATGCAAAAAGCCAAATATGCAATACTTCATCCGCTTATTTTTTAGTTGATGTGTATTCCTTTTTTTTTATTTTTTTTTTTATCAATTTCTTTAGTTTACGCATTTCTTTTTATGTTAAACCTTTTGCTATGTAATTACTACTTTACTCTTGCTAACCACATTACCGATTACCTCTTTAATATTTGTGTCAAAATCAACTGTATCAGCTAATAAAAAAAAAAGGAAATATCCTTTTAAAGCTAATTATAGAAAGTACTACTTACTACGAGTATGCTTGAAAAGATAGCAAATGTGTTATTAAATAACCTTAAACCCTAGTAAGACCATATTCACTTCATCTTATTTTTGCTGAATTGAAATTATTTTTACTTAACTAAAATTATTTTTGCTGAAGTTAAATTATTTTTATTGAACTGAAATTAATTTTACTGAACTGAAATTACTTTTGCTGAACTGAAATTAATTTTACTTAATCTCTATTATATTTCTTCTTTACATTTACTGACTTTTATAAAAATGAAATTATTTTTACTGAACTGAAATTATGAACTGAACTTATTTTTACTGAAATGAAATTATTTTTACTGAACTGAAATTATGAACTGAACTTATTTTTACTGAAATGAAATCATTTATACTGAATATTATTTTTTTAAGCTGAAGTGAACAGAGTCTAAGAAAATTAAGACAAGTTTCCAAATAGCTAAGAAGAAACAATTAATAAGCGAAAAAAAAAAAAAACCTACGTACCTTGACTGAAATATGGGGAGGAGGAGGCTTGGTAACGAGGTAGAAAACAAGCAAAGCAAGCATTGCACTAAGCAAAAACCTCCATAAAAGTTGTAACCCAATCCAAACATAAGAAGAGTATGTGTTGAATGATAAATACTTCCAACACTTTCCTTCATCATTATCAAAATTATACAACTCCTCTTCATCATCAACTTTTCCCATTTTTTTAACACTCATAACAGGCACAACCATATCATTATTTTTATTAATAACAATATTCGTCGTCTTTCCAGCTGAAGAACTGAGGATACCATTTGCATGATCACAAGATAGTACATTAGTCATCCTCATCACGTCATTCTGGTGGATGAAAGAAGTGGTTGAGGCTCGAGAAGACGAGCAACGAGACAGATTGCCACTGAAGGTGCTGGTCCTAGCCACTATAGATGATGCATTGTGGTCTTGGTTGTTGAGAAGTGGTTTGGTTGGGTAACACTGATCTTGATCTTCTTCTTCGTTATAAGAAGGAAGTGATAAGAGTTGAGGGTTACGGCCAGACTCAGTATAAGTCGTCGTAGTGCTGTTAGCACGACGATGATGAGAGACTGAGGATGGACTTTGAACATAGTAGTTGCTACCATATTCTTCTTCTTCCATTTCCATCATCATTATTAACTATTACTGTATCGAATTAAAACTAGAGTTCAAAACTTGTTCACCCCTAAAGAGAGGAAGAGGCTAATAATATGTAGTAATTTTAGGACTACTATTATGGTTTTGCCCGTGACAAGTATAAATATATGTTGGATGGTCCAACGTGCTGCCTTTTATAACTATTGATAGTTGAAACCATCCAAATTTCATGACTTTTTATTAAGGTGCATGGATTTGGGTGGGGTATTATGAATTATTGAGAGGGTGTGTGTACAACTAACCAATACCAAATTAATAATGTAGATTACATCATTTACAAAATCTATATTTATTACTTAACGTTACTATAAGATGATGTAGCTTGGTAATGAAGCTTTGCTTTACTTCAAATGGAATTTTGATTATTAAGTTTCTAATCATTATGGAAATTGCATATATTTTATACTCCTTATTTCTATTTATTAGACCATATATACAAATAAGCTAAGTTCTAACAATCAACAACAAAAATCTGAACGTTAATTAGGAAAGGAGAGAGACTTCAAATCCTAGCTGGAGCCTACCAAGTGAGGGTACTTGGGGGTATGGATACTTTTACCCTCTCCTCTACTCTCAAGTGTCTGGCCTGTAAATACTGGACTAAAAATCATGAGAGGCGAGATCTAATCAGAGTCCTTCTTATCATTATAAAATTAGGGAAAAAGAGAGAATACAAACAAATTGAAGTAACAAAGTACTCGCATACATTTAAGTTAATTTTCTCCTTGTATATATGAAGTACTCCGTACTAGTTAATATGTTTAATATAAATCTTAAAATTTGTTAAGTTAATTTCCTCCTCGTATTCCCGGAAATTATGGATTAATGGGACATCTATCCACAGCATAATTGGACACTCTCTTTTCTCTGTGCCCTAAGCTAGTGGCTAATAAATTATAGGAGCTAATAATAAAACAGGCATGTATTTCTTTACACCGAAATCTCTTTTTCTGCCTCAAGAATCATGGTCAACTTAATCACACTTTGTCCTTTAATTCGGACTCATTATGCGTAGTAATCATTCGTTCCTTTGTTTAATTAAATAAAAGGATACCCGCTTTTTGTATTAATTATATTGTTGTTTTTTTTTTTTATCAAAGTTAGTTTACAAGAACACAATCTACATGTCAAATTATCAACACATTTACAAACACACTACCTTCGTTAATTATCATTTGTGAGATATAAAATATTTCAAAATTGCACATAATAATTAATGAAGGTAGTATATTGTTTCATTTTACTACGGTCAAGAATTAAACATTTTCTAATATTGCTTACTAAATTCCGCCTTTATTACCTATATTAAGCTCCAACTAAATATGATTGAATAGCTAGTTAATATATGATAATAATGATGAACACAACATATATAGCTAGCTTCTTGTATGATAGGCTCCGGAAATGGAGCAATCTTCATGGCCCGGACATGGTTTTTCTGTCAGAAACCATGATTAATAAAGCTGAAAAAGAAGGAATAAAAGATAGGATTGGTTTTTCCAATGCCTTTGGCGTGTCTAGTGTAGGTAAGTCTGGAGGTATGTGTTTGTATTGGAACGCGGATAAGGTGGATTTTTCTCTTGTGTCGTTCTCGCAAAATCATATATGTGGTGACGTGGAGAGGCAAGGGAAAAAATGGAGGTTTGTAGGTATTTATGGGTGGCCGGAGAGTGCTAATAAATGTCGAACTTGGAGCCTCATTCAACATTTATGTGGTGAAGCTCAAATTCCAATTATTTTTGGGGGTGATTTTAATGAGATTCTTACTTATGAGGAGAAGGAAGGGGGGTCGATTAGGGAGAGGAGGGAGATGGCTGGCTTTCGAGAGATGTTGGATGTGTGTGAGTTGAGGGACTTGGGGTTTAGAGGCCAGTGGTGGACTTGGGAGAGGGGTGTGACTATAGCTACCCAGGTTCGAGAAAGACTTGATCGATATCTTGCCACTTCTTCCTGGACTCGTTTTTATCCTTGTGCATATGTTGAGCATCTTCTAAAAAAGCAGTCAGATCACACCCCTATTTTTCTGAGGCTGGAGTAACAAAGCAAGCGAAAAAAGAAGAAGAGGAATTTTAGATTCGAAACTGCTTAATTGGATGTTGGATGCAAACTGTGAAGCTACCATAAGATGCGCATGGGAGGAAGCTGCGGGTTCCGATATTATGATGAAATTGATGACAGTTGGGAAGAAATTAATGTCTTGGAGTCGAGAAAAGTTCGATGATATTGGCACAAAAATTGAGGAGAAAGAGCAGGCACTTAGAGCAGCCCATCAATTGCCGATTTCTCAAAGCAGTTGTGAGTCTTGCGTGAGATTGGAGAAAGAACTTCAGGAATTAAATGAGAAGCAAGAAGCTCATTGGTTCTTGAGGTCGAGAGTTGCTGAGATTCGAGATAGGGATCAAAACACGAAGTACTTCCACCACAAAGCCTCTCAAAGGAAGGCAAAAAATGCTTTTCATGGATTATTTGATTCGAATAGTACATGGCAGACCGAAGAGTCGCAGGTGGAGAAAGTCATCACTGAGTATTACAAAGATATGTTCGAAACCAATGGGTCTTATGCCGAGGCTCTCCAAGAAGTGCTTCAGTATGAGCCGATTTCTATCACTCCGGAACAAAATTTGGACTTGTCGAAACCGTATACAAAGGCTGAAATTCTCGATGCTCGAAAACAAATGCACCCTTGCAAGGCCCCGGGCCCAGATGGTATGCATGCTATCTTTTATCAAAAATTTTGGCATATAGTTGGTGATGATGTGACTACTTTTGTTAGCAATGTTCTAAATGGTAGTACTAGTCTTGAGCATGTTAATAGAACTAATATTTCTTTAATCCCCTAAAATAAAGTCTCCAACTTCTTGTTCGGATTTTCGTCCCATAAGCCTGTGTAATGTACTGTATAAGCTTGTTTCGAAGGTGATTGTGATGAGGTTGAAATTAATTTTGCCCGGGGTTGTATCAAAAAATCAGAGTGCTTTTGTTCCGGGCAGATTAATAACTGACAATGCGCTTATTGCTATGGAATTATTTCATACCATGAAAAGGAGGAGTAAGGCTAGAGAGGGAACGATTTCTTTGAAGCTTGATATGAGTAAAGCTTATGACAGGGTTGAATGGGGCTTTTTGAAGAAACTGTTGCTCACTATGGGTTTTGATGGGAGATGGGTGAACTTGATCATGAACTGTGTGTCTTCGATGAAATACTCTTTTATTGTTAATGGAAGAGTATGTGGTGATGTGACTCCTACTAGGGGTCTAAGGCAGGGGGGATCCCCTATCCCCTTATCTCTTTATTCTAGTTGCCGATGCCTTATCTTTGATGTTGAAGAATAAAGTGATAAATGGAGAGTTACATGGAGCTAGAGCCAGTCGCAGGGGTTCGGTAATTTCTCATCTTCTTTTTGCAGACGACAATCTACTTTTTGCTAGAGCCAACCGACAGGAATGCGAATTTTTTTTTTGATATTCTCAACAAATATGAAGCAGCATCCGGACAGAAAATTAATTATGAAAAGTCGGAGGTGTCTTTTAGTAAAGGTGTTAAACAAGAGCAGAGAGAAGATTTGATGAATATTTTGAGCATGCGGCGGGTTGATAGGCATGAGAAGTATCTTGGCATTCCAACTGCTCCAGGGAGATCGAAAAGGGTGGTGTTTGAGGCATTGCTTGATAGAATCTGGAAGAAGTTACAAGGATGGAAAGAAAAACTCATTTCTAGAGCCGGAAAAGAGGTGCTCCTAAAATCTGTAATACAAGCTATCCCTACTTACCTTATGGGAGTTTATAAGTTCCCTTGCTTGGTGATTGAGAAAATTAATAGTGCTATGGCACGATTTTTTTGGGGTTGTTCGGATACTCGTCGAAAGACACATTGGAGGAGTTGGAGTACTCTCTGTACTCCTAAGTGCTTAGGAGGTATGGGATTTAGAGACTTAAGTGTGTTTAATGATGCCCTTTTGGGTCGTCAAGCGTGGAGATTGGTGCACAACGAGAATTCACTCCTAAGTAAAGTCATGAAGGCGAAGTACTACCCGAACTGCTCTTTTCTCGAAGCCTCACTTGGGCATGCGGGTAGCTACTCGTGGCAAAGTGTGTGGAGCGCAAATCGCTGGTGAAAGAAGGTGTTATTTAGAGAATAGGGACAGACACTCAAGTGAGTATATGGAAGGACCTGTGGGTGGCGGATGAATGTGGCAGATTTATCACTACTGCCGAGTGTGGTGATGTTACTCAAGTGTGCGACCTGATAAAATTCGAGAGTATGGATTGGAATGTAGAGCTGATTTCTCGTATCTTTAATGCGAGAGATCAAAAGTGCATTCTAGCACTTCCATTGAGCTGGAGAGAACCCAAGGACGCTTTGACGTGGGCTTTCTCTAAAGATGGTTTATACTCGACTAAGAATGCATACATGTTGGGTAAGGGCTGCAATTTTGATGATTTTCATCAAGTGTGGGTTTTTATTTGGAGCCTAGAAGTGTCACCTAAGGTACGACACTTTCTATGGAGGTTTTGTACGGGTACTCTGCCCACAAAAGGCCTCCTTATGGCGCGACATATGATTGAGGAAGCCTTCTACCCGTGGTGTGGAGAGGTGGAGACGAGCTTCCATGCTATTTTTGAGTGTGTGCGAGTTGAGGAGCTTTGGGAAGATTGTGGCTGCTCCTCCCTCCGTGCAAGAGCTGTAGGGGATCTTTGTGAATTAGTGCTCAGTTGGAAGAACGCAAGTGCAAAGCTACAACAGAGGGCTGCTTATTTGGCTTGGTGTGTGTGGGGTGACAGAAATAAGAAGGTTTTTGAAGGCACATGGACACCAAATGGGGTACTTGCGGCCAGAGTTGGCAGACTGGTAGAGGAGTTTGGGCTATATAGTAAGAAAATTTACACCTCAAATATGCCCAAAGCAAAGAGAAGCAGCAAGATCTGGAAACCACCCCCTGCTGGAGCAATTAAGATCAATGTGGACGCATCCCTTGCTGTTGAGGGCTGGGTGGGGATGGGTGTGATTGCAAGAGATTGTGAGGGGAAGGTCCTTATGGCAGCAACCAGAAGGGTCTGTGCTTGGTGATCGCCAGAGATAGCTGAAGTGAAGGCTGTGTGTATGGCATCCAGGCTTGCGAAAGCTTACGGATTCAATGATATTATAGTGGAGACCGATTGCCAAGGGCTTGTAAATCGCCTTTCAAAAGCTGATGTTTTCCTTTCTGATTTGGATAATGTGTTAGAAGATGTTCTTTCTTTAAGCCTTAGTTTTAATTCAATAGCTTGGAGTCATGTTAGAAGAGATGGCAATTTTGTTGCTCATCACTTAGCCAAGCTCTTGCCTAGCGGTGTAAAACAAGTATGGGTGAATCATTGCCCTCCGGAGATTTCACCTTATGTACTCTCGGACATTTTGTCCTTTAATTGATTAATACACCGCTACTTTCTCTCAAAAAAAAAAAAAAAAAAAAAAAAAAAAAAAAAAAAAAAAAAAAAGCTTCTTGTATGAAAAAGGAGTTGATGGATTGACATGCAATGCAAGCTATATGAATTAAAGCAAGTTAGTGGTTGTATAGCCGAAATTATTATAGAGCCAAGAGAATGATGAAGATGGCTCAAAATCTTAGTGCAGTTTTATGCTTTTATTATTCAAATTAAAAGTCACAATATCACAAGCTAAAATCATTTGAGGCATTTTTAGCCTTGTAATCAAATTATAAAGAAACATAATAATTGTGAATATAGTTTGCTTTGCACATTTATCCATATTTTTTCAATATATCAAATCCATATAATCAAAGTATGTACTATATAAGGGTCCACCACCCAACAATAGCTCCTGATCATCATAATCTTCATAAAGGATATTTTCATGGCTCCTAATATAAATTTAATCCAAATTATGCCCTACTTTTCTGTAACAATTCTAAGGTAAAACTGTTAAATATATTGCGCGTGATACCCAAAGGATACTGTTCTTTCTTTTTTAAAGTCATTTTTGGGCTTTTACCATAGTTGCACATCCCATTTGACTTTGTTTATTTTTTTGTGGTGTTGCACCCCATTCATTCTTTGGAGTAATTTGGATTCGAGGCTTAAATCTAGGTTGTGGTTTTAAGTTTCAGTCCTCTTCCAATTGTTGTTGTGAGAGATTGAACACGCAATGTTATTTATTAAGTACAACCTTAATCACCACTGCACCAATAATCGGATTTGGGCCTTAAATCTAAGTCATTTAAGTTTCAGTCCTCTCTCAATTGTTATTGTGGGAAATTGAACACGCGATGTTATTTATTAAGTGCAACCTTAATCACCACTGCACCAACAACCAATTGGTTATTTAACTTCTTTTGTGATTCATGTATATATTACTCCGTTAATGATATGGTAAAAATAGATAAAGGCATATTAGATTCATCTCAATATACTTGTATATACTTTTGCAATACTAAAATTTTCTCACAATTTGATTAAATGATACTTTAATAAAAACTCAATTACATTTGCGTATAGAGACATACATAAAACTCTAATTGCTACGATTAGTACGTAAAAAGAATGGATGTACACCTTTTTCACATTTAGTATTATCCACGTGGCAGGTAGCCAATACAACGCACGAATAGTGTTATTTTATTCCACCCAATAGGCCAATATCCACGTACTGACGTACCAAGTGTCTTTATAATGCTTAACAATATTCCGTAATATTTAAATAGTTAAATAAATGAAATTGATTACTAACTGTCGCTTTGGCCGAGTGGTTAAGGCGTGTGCCTGCTAAGTACATGGGGTTTCCCCGCGAGAGTTCGAATCTCTCAGGCGACGTATTGTTTTTTTTTTTCCCTCTGCTGCTTCTGTAATGTTTAATTGGGTTGAAATTTAAATCAATTGGGCCATTTAGTCCCATTTACTGATCACTGTAATTTTGATAGTCTGTGTAATAAGCTAATCTAAGGATTTTGTACTAGGGGTTTGTTCTCTTCGTCTTATTTTAAGTTCAGTTCAGTAAATCAGAAAAGACCCAAGTCGTTTGGTTCATTGGGGAAGTGAATATTCCCATGAAATTTTAATTTTTAGCAATTAAATTGTTTGGTTGATAATCGAGGAATTGAAGTAAATTTTCATAGAAATTTTAACTTAATAAGGAAGAGTTAGGTAAGTAAATTCACATGTTTTAAGAAATTAGTCAAATTCCCAAGAATTGTCATTGTCTTTATTTTCACTATATTGTGTCAACCAACCAAGAAGTCCAAATGAAAACATTGAAATTTTTTTGCCTACATAAATTCAAGGCAATTAGATCAAAATACCAAACAATACATTTACAATTCTACTAGTTTCGGTCTATCAGAGTTGATTTGCTAATCCACAAAACCTTTTAACTAAGCACTACAAAAAAAATCCACAAAAGGTTTGGAATTTTTTGTTGTTAGTTTTCAAAATCTTGAAAATTAAGAAAATTTTAATTTGACTAACATTTTTATTCATTTTATCAAAAAAAAAAATTACAAAAAAAAAATATATATTAAGTATAAATTATTTCCAATTGTTAGAGATTGTATGAATTATTTGAAGAGTTGTATTTCCGATCAAATCATGTACTTTTTTTTTTTTTTGAGGGCAAAATCATGTACTTATAGCTAGGGGCATAAAACAAAACTATTTATGGAGAGGTAACAATACAAATTTTTTTTTTATTTATTTTTAGAAGTGCTAAAAAAAGAAATATGATGACTAGCTTAATTTGAGAGAGATATTTTATACTATGTATGTCTAATTAGCATTTCAATATGGAAAAAGAAAAACAAATGTGTATACAATTTTTTTAATGGCTTAATTATTCTGTCTTTTTTGTTTTGTACAGTAACAATTTAACATTATACAAAGGTGCAAGTATTCTACAGTATATCCTACCTAAACTTATTCTCTTCTCCACAAGTGTATAACAACAATTCACTATTCACACTTACTCCTTTCCTATCTATTTCCTTATTGCATTATCGTTTATTCTAAGCAAAATCTTCAAGTAGAGGACAAAAATAACGGAACTTAATAAACAAATGATCGATAATAGTATCGGATGAAGATGAGGATGAGGATGAGGATGAGGATGATTAAGATGGAGTCGAAGGGTATGTAACGTAGCTAGGTAGGTGTAATCCGGCAAAATTTTGTGTGTAAAATTATGGCCGTATGTATAAAAATGGAAGTAACGAACTAGACACGTATGTACCTAAATACTAGATAATTCGGATTGGTCGCTAGAGACAAAAGGTAGGTCTGTCCAAGCTAAGGAGGGATTAAACTTGAAATTCAAGGAAAGGAAAGGAAACATCTCCCAACAAACTCTCCAAACTATCCCATTCTCCCATTTTTAAGTTTCCTTCTTTTCCGTTATTATTATCATTATCATTACTATTACCATTATTCCCATAATTATTACCATTATAATTGCCTCCGTCTTGATCGATTTTGACCATATCACCCCAACTCTCAATGTCACTTATAACGATTTCGTTGCAGATTTTATTCCTATGGAACAACATTTCACTCGTGTTGGTTGTTGTTGTGTTCGCGATAATATTACTACTATGGTTGTTGCTATAATTCATTCCTGCTTGTGTACCAAAGTGTTGAAGATCATGGAATACTTGGATTTGGTCGTCACACCCCACAAAATTACCAAAATGACCTTGGTGATCAACCATTTCTTGTTGTTGTCCTAGGCATGCAAAATTGGACATGCTAACACTTATCTCATAACCGTTACTCTCAAGAAGAGGAGGCAGAGAGTTGTCAAATTGGTTGGTCGCCACGCTAGTTATGGAGCTCGCGGCCGTGTGCATCGAAGGAGATGAAGGAGAGGTTGATATTATAGATGAATCTATGCCGCACAAGTTGTTATAAGCAGCAGCAGATGTCATGAAACCTTGATGATGATGATGACTTGTTGCATGATCGTTCATAGATGATGGAAACATTACTTCTTGACCTATTACATAGTTGTTGTGGTGATGAATAGGGTTCATTATATCGGTGGTGTCGCTTAGCAAGCTGCTTGGATCATCCATTGATGATACATTGTTATTGTTGTTGTTACAATTGTTGTTTTGTTTCAATCTTTTCTTAATGGTGGAGTTCCAAAAATTCTTGATTTCGTTGTCGGTTCGCCCTGGAAGACGGGCTGCAATTTGAGACCACCTGCACAATTGTATGCGTAAGTGTAATTAGTTCAACGGACCAAAAAATCGTGAGGGTTAAGGTTCGGTCAGATCCTTCTCCTTACCGTAATTTTTATAAAAAAAAATGAAATGATTGTGAGAATGACCCAAATAACGACCTACCTTAGCTTACGTCCAGGATCTTAAATACGCTTTTCAAGGGAGATGATAATGCAAACTATACCATGCTTACTTGCACAATATATAATAGCACCAATAAACTAATATACTTATTGTATGAAAAACTTACCTAAATTTTACTTAAGAGTTTACCTAAATGATGCCAAATACGGAGTAATATAATCCAAACACTTTTATTAAAGGAAAGTGCAGGGAAACAAAACTAAGCTAAAAGCCTAAACATGCATTGTACGTGTACAATATTAAAAAAAAAAACTTGAAACATCACATTTCTTTTTCTTTGGATGTTATTCATCAAAATATGTATACAAAGTGTTTAATACTTTGTGTCTCCGTGATAAGAGAAAACTCAACTTATCATTAAATTTTATAAAAATGAAGTTATGAAGGCGCTCTTTTTTTCTATACCTAATGACAGAAAACAAATAAATGCTACGAAGTACATATTAACCAAGCATGTCCTAGGAAAATGGTGATTATAAGTATTATATGAAACTTGTAATTAATCCCTTAAATTAAATAATGTACGTAGCATCAGATAATGGCTATTTTGCATAACTGATGGGAAAAAAAACTAATTTTTCTATATATAATTACATCTGACGTTAGTTATATACTTATATCTAAACCCTTATAATTAATTAAGAGAATAAATGACAATTCAAGAGAAGATAAAAGCACTATGAATGTATACTAATATACTATACATTCAACAAAAAAATGATATAATCATATACTCCGTATTAATTAAGTAATAAGTAATTCAAGTATGTGTATGTATACTATCAATTGGCTAGCAAAATAAGATAATATATATAGTAGGTGCACAGCATCATAACGATTAAATTGTTTGGTATGCCTAGTTTTTAATGGTGTTATTAACTTTTTTGTAAATTTTCTGGGTTCAGACCTTGGACTTGGATTAATTTCATATAATATTTAAGAAAATTAAGCATTGAAAGAATTGAAAAGCAGACAATCTAAAATACATATATAACAGTAGAAAACCTACCTGTTACCAAGGACGGAATGAAGGTGGAGAATAAGGTGTTCCTCTTGAGGAGAGAAAGCGCCTCGCTTAAGGTCAGGGCGGAGGTAATTAATCCATCGAAGGCGGCAGCTCTTACCGCACCTTTGGAGGCCGGCATTCCTCGCAATGTCACTCCAACACCCTTGCCCATTCCTCAACATGTAATTCATAAGTTTATCATCTTCGTCGGGTGACCATAATCCTTTCCTCAATTTCACTACATGATTGTTATTGTTCTTACTACTAATAGTACTAGTATTATTATTATTGTTGCACTTGCTACTTTTCTCTTTGTGATCCTTAACCATTGTATTAGGTCCTCTCATTATATGTATGTATCAAAATCGAAATGAACCCTAACTAGTCTAATTTTAAGATGGATAGTAATAATAATAATAATAATAATAATAATAATAATAATAATAATAATAATAATAATAATAATAATAATAATAATAATAATAATAATAATAATAATAATAATAATAATAATAATAATAATAATAATAATAATAATAATAATAATAATAATAATAATAATAATAATAATAATAATAATAATAATAATAATAATAATAATAATAATAATAATAATAATAATAATAATAGCAAGTACTATTATTATTATTATGCAATCTTTCTCTTTTGATGATCTCTACAACTCTTGATGAAAATGATGATGATCAATTATAAGAAGCCTACTATATATGTGGGTAGGAGTTGTACTACTATATGATTATTATCATAAAGTATACTATATGTAACACATCAAAAATAAAATAAAAATAATAATAAAAACAAAAGAAAATGAAAGTGAGAATAAAAAAAAATGACTAGCTAGTTGTAGCTAATTAAAGAGTTAATAAGTAAAGGTATATATATATGAGTAAGTTAGGAAGCTAGAAATAATAGGTAAATAAGGAAGGGAAGTGAGAGATGAAGGAGGGATTGGATGAGGAGGCTTCATAAGGAGGTAATGATAATGATGAAAGTGACGGTTGTAAGCTTGCTTAGAATGTGAAATTAAACATGCCGACTATTATTAAATTATTTTAAATATAATCTTATATATTAATAAAGTGTCTTTAAATTAGTTGGCTTTCTTTAACTTGACATGTTCACTCTAAACAGATTGGAGGGAAACTCTCCCTTCCTAATTATTTTGCTTCCCCTTTTCTTATCTTTCTATTCTCCTCTCTTTGTCTCTTAGTGTAGTTTTTTTATTTATTATTTAATTATTTATTTATTTCTAGTTTGTTTCCTTGTTTTATTTAATTGATGAATGAAAATTTACTCATACAAGCTTAAAAGGCTTCCTAAGAGCCGCTTTTATCTTAATTTTTTTATAAAGTCAAAGAAGACATATAGTAGTACTTTCATTTTTTGATTATTATCATTCACAATAAATAAAAGTTAAAGTGATATCAAATTCATTACACATTTGCACAAGTATATCCTATGACTTTTAAACCTCAAATTAAACCAAAGAACAAAATTGACAAAGATGCCTCAAAACAAAATAAAGAACTAAACCTTTATGAAATCACTCTATATTTAAAACTATATATATATTCCACCATGAATATATGTTAGAGATATGATATATCAGAAAATATATTATTGTGATATATTTTTCCATATAGAACTTATGATATTATATTTAGGATAGTAATATATCTTTTGATTATTTATATTGTGTAGGTTATCTTTTGTAGGCTATAAATATTAGCCAAGATCATCAATAATATATTTTTCGATATATCATATCTCTAACAATATATCTATAGAGGCAATATTTTTAACATTACTTTACACAAAAATGGTAACAAGACTACTTAATTAATTGCACAAAATATTAGTAGAGTGTGTGTTACAAGCTAGTTTATTCCTAACCGATTAAAGTTTTAAAATAGGTTTCATGAATGCATTTGACATTAAACAATCACATACAAAATATTGGAAACAACAATTTCATCAAATTAAACCTACAACAAAACAAAGATTTTTAAGTTAATCGACCATGATATTATTGTATTGTATTAGGTTTGTACGGTGTAAGCCCTTCCAAAAGTTTGCATGCAATTTATGACTTGAAATCTTCATGTGTATCAATATCTATTATTCAATTAACATCTAATAAAACCAAAACAATAATATATATATAGCTAGAGAAAATATAAAATGCCTAATAGTTTTAAGAAAATAAGTCTTAGAAAAAAAGAAAAAGTGATGGCGATGGTTGGTCTTCTTGTCTTTGACTCCATATAATGTCGCTATCAAAGCCCCATGGGAGGAGGTTTTTTAAACTTCACTCACAAGGTAATCATCATGGCTTTATGACGATCTTACATTCTTCTTCTTTCTACCTTGTTTTTTTTTTCTTTTTTAAATTTATTTTGCTTCCATTTCACATAATATAGCCTACACACTATTCTATAGGGGGTTGGCCAAGTTGAGTTGGGCTGGGCTCGACCCCCTTTCCTTCCTTCTAGCACATACTTCCTTTGTTCTCTTTTAATCGCAACATTTTTTTTTTTTTCAGGAAGCTATATATTAGTAGCAATACTACTTCATTTACCTTGACCAACAATGCTCTTTAATATTCCACATATGGCCTCATTACATGGGAGGAGTCATTTTTTTATCTCTTTTTCTATCTCTCTTATATCTTAAATCATTGCACATCTCCTCCACCTTGCAATTAAAAATGAAAGAAAGAACTCAACATACAACTATACATGTACTACTGTACTAGCATTACAATTTTTATATTATTATTAGTAATAAAGGTGTTTAGAGTTGTACTTGGTCACACGTGAATTCTAAGTATAAACTCACTTTAATTTCATGACCTCTATACACATTGCATTCTTAGAGAGAAAAGAGTAGTACTGAAAGTACTGCTTGTAAAATACTTCCCCCTTTTCTTAAGCGTTTAACGTGTCAATATGTAATTGTCCATTTCGTTTAATTTCTATAATTTTTAAATAACCATTTATATTATGATTTGAATGGCGACAAACGTATATGGCTGTCAAACAAAGACATTTTTGATTGATTGTTACATCTCCTTTAACAACTACGATACATTTCTAGGCTCAATCTGCTACCTTATAATCAGGCCATGCACTTATTTAACTCTTTTTTTTTTTCTTCTAATTTGGCCCTCATTTTATTATTTATGTGCTGTATAAGAAACGTTACCGCCTAGACATGCACTTATATTATATACATCCTCCGTTTTTTTATTATTGCAACATAGGGGTTGGGTGCAAATATTTTGGTAGTGGAAAAAAGTAAGAGAGAGAAAGGTAAAAATACAAAATTGTAAGGGTATGTTGGGTATTTGTAGTGAACACAAAGTAAGTGTGAAAAAGCAAGGGTATGTTGGGTATTTGTAGTGTGAACACAAATAATTTTTTTCCTAAAGAGAAAATGGTGCAATATTTGTGAAACTTCTTAAAAAGGCAAGTGGTGCAATAATAAAAGAACGAATGAAGTATATAATTGTATACGGAGTATGTATTCAATTTAAATACTGTATAAAGTGTTGATCGAATATACAAACAAAGTAACACAATTCCACATTATTACTCCCTCCGTTTTTAAAATTTTTGCTCCACTTTTCATTTCCGGCCGTTTTAATATATTTACTCTATTTTCTTATTTGAAATTTTTTTACAATATTTAATTCATTTTCCTCACCTAATGGACCCAATATAAATCATATTTTATTAATTTGATATTCTCTCTCCTCCAATTCTCTCTACTATTTTATTTTTTTTACGATTTTTTATTCTTTCACCTACCCCACTACCTCTATATTTTATTACTTTCTCTAATTTCTCCTAAAGCTTTGTGCATTGAGAAATGGAGCAAGTATTTAAAAACGGATGGAGTACATACCAAAGTTTCGAGTGATATTTTGATCCCTATTTTCTTTAATCATTCTAATGAATAAGATTTCAAAACAATAAGTTTAGAGAAGTTTGAAAAAAAAAAATGAAAATTTTTAACATACACCCAGGTGCAAGATGCACTAAGATTATTTTTTTACTCATCTAATGATTAAGGATCTGTTCACATTTACTGAACTGATTGGAGCTTAATTGAGTTGAGCAGAAATGAATATTTTATGAAAGAAGGAAATTATGAGCTGAATTAAACTGAACTGATTGGAGCTAAATTAAACTGAAATTAAGCCGAAAGGAATAGGCCCTAAATGAGCAATAATCATCCTTTAATTCTATTATGAAAAAAGCAAAAACATATATTGGGTGCACAGTATACCCAAGTGTATATAACAATCTTTGGGGGAAATAAAAAAGTCTATTGCTCAAACAAAAAACTTTTGATTTTCTATGAAGATTTATAAATTGAATTAAAATAGATACTATATATAGAGTATTGAAGTAACTGAATATTAGGCTCTAAGCATCTTTGCTAATGCCTAATGTACGTAGTCAAAATTATGGTGAGTAAGCAAAAGGATAAGAACTAAAGAAACAATAGATTTGGGGATAGTATCCAACTAAGGCAGCAGTTGTATATAGGGGAAGCTAATAGCAACATACAGTACTAGACATTTGGAGAAACTCCAAAGCTACTCTAATCCACGTTTCAAGGAACAGCTGTTTTGACAGCAATACCTTTTCTTTGAACTTCATTAGCTTGCCAACTAACATCCTTCTTAAACTAGTTTCTGGCTCGAGCAATTTATAGGATTGTTACCTATTGTTACCTTATTTTAAATGTCATATTTACATACGTTGAATAAGAGAATCCGTTTCTCTTATACTCGTATTAGTTTCTAAATCTTGAGATTATGTAATTATAAAGTTGTTTTTATGGTTATTTGTATACTCATATGAGGAATTATATTCAGTGTTTTGTATATCATGATTCAAAGATGTTTAATACTATGTATAGGTTAATGTTTGAAATCACAAGGTTTTTTTAAAAACAAAATACAGCTTGTCTTGCAATAATCATTGTCCTTTTTAATTAGACCAAACAATTAAGCTGGAGATGTTTTATTAGACCAAGTATTTAGAAATTACTAAGTGTTGTAATAAATAGCAAAATGCAAATGGAAAAAAAAATAGGGTAAAACATAAAGCATATCGAAGTAATAGATTAATAGGTAGCTAAGATAATTGAAACTTGTACTCCGTAATACAAAGCTAAGGCATGTTCTGATTGACTGAATTGAGTTGAACCGAACTGAATTTATTGAAGTTGAACTGAAGTGAACTGAATATTTTATGAGATAAGGAAATTAAGAACTGAACTGAACTTATTAAAACTGAATTGAACTTAAAGTAACTTGAAGAGAACAGATCCTTATATTACGTATATGTTTAAATGTTTTGTTG